GCAGACTCTCCCTATAGGGCATCTATATTTATTTTTCTGGGTAAAGCTTCTAGCTTTGCAGAAATATAACAAGCTGAAGGGAACATCATTATTATTTGTCTGAAGATGATGACATTGACATGAGGTCGTCTGACAGGGGATTAAAGTGGAAAAATATCAGTGGCAATCTGTTAGAAACAAGAGAATCTCTTTGAAAAAAGGAATCAGGTGTAAACCACAAAAAGTTGATTTGCTTCTGGGATTTTTCTTTGGTTGTTAAACTGTTTTCAAGAATCTTTGCTGCTGTTTGTAAATACTGGGTTTCACATGCACATTGGGATGCGAGCCAGTGCCATTCCAAGACAGATGTTTCAGCTGGGAGCCTGCTCCATATTATCTAGGTGCCTCTTTTATGAGACAACTGCTTTTTGTATAGGATTTGAAATCTAGTTCAGTGTGTTTCAATCTGCCCTGTTTTCATCAAATTTGGCTGCCACTGATGGTTGTTTTCTGGCCTGTTTAAGCTGGGTCAGGGGCCTCTGTACTATTGCATGTATGCAGATGCTCATGTTTTTTTAACTCATGGGAAAAAAATAGTATCTGTTGACAGTCTCTGGTGAAGTGCCAACAGTAAATGAATGAGTCTAAATAACCTTTTATTTGCAGAGGTCTGTGGCATATAGGAGCAGAAAACATAGGCAATCACACTATTTGGTTTTTTAGTGATGATGAAGAGGGGACAATGTGAGGAGGAGGAGATGGGAAATAAAATATGACATCAAACACTTAAATTACAAATACTTTTTGCTCTGTTTTTTTAAGGTTTAGTCTTCAGTCCTTTAGCAACAACTGAACTTGTAGGATTCTGTGCACTTCACAGCTTTAAGTTTGGTGGGTTTTTTTCATACTAAAGCATTTTGATATGAGAACTGGTATGGATTATTATCCTGCTATGCTAATACACTGGCTTCCAAGTCCATTTGTGTATTTCTGGGAAATGTGGGAAAACAGTGAAAAGGAGCACACAGTCTAATAAAGACTAGGACTGAAGACTGGGAGATGGAAAACTGAGTAGTAGTGTGTTTGATCTAAAACTGCAGGATTTAGTTTACTGTCCTTTTTTGTGTTTGGTTGTGGTGTTGCTTGGGCGTTTTTTTGGTTTAGTTGTTGGAGTTTTTGTTGGTTTTTTGTTGTTGTTGTTTTTTTTTTTAACAATCAAGCTTATATAATGAACATTTTCTTTGAAGACACCAAAGAGTTGAAACTTTTGTCTTCATTATGAAACCTGATATTTTCTTTGATTTTCTAGATGGCAGAGACAAGAATATTTAAGTAAATGTCAAATAACATGAAGTTTATGGTTTAAGACATGAGAATCTGGCAAAATTGAGGGTTGTGCCTGCTGATAATCTTAAGGTAATACTGGAAGCCATTTCCAATGGCTTCCAAGAGTCTGATGAGTGAGTTAGCAGTAATAAGTCAAACATCTCTTGATATATATAGTTGAGGTTTATATTGTGCAGTGGAAAGCCCAACTGACAACTCTGCTTCCAACTCCTGGAGTCATACCTGCAAACCACTCTTGAGAATGGAGAATCATGATGGGATGAGAAGGATCCTGGCTTATAGATCTGGCCAATGCAAGCAAGTTTTCAGCAGCAGGATCTATTTGGGCTTTGGAATGACTTTTACCTCCATGCTTGGCAGATTGTTCATCTCCTCTCTGAGAAAGGACATGTGTTATAGTGGGAGTCTTCAAATGCTTGCTTCACCATGTGTACCTATGAGGCCATCAAAACACCTAATACATAATAGAGAAGGAGCTTTCTCACCTGTATTGGCCTCTGAGGGTTTTGTCAGATGTCTCTCTTGAGTTTCAGTTAATGGTAAGCTCTCAGGTGCTTGTTGCATTGGGCTTTCTAACATCTTTGCTTGGTTTTCTGTTCTGTTTTTTTGACAGTTCTTCTGGGTATAGTTTTTAAACTCTTGCATTAAATTAATTGTATTCCTTCCCACAGACTTTTCTTGGAATTTGCGTGGTATGTGTTGTATGAATGTATGCGACCATCCACGCCTTCTTCCATCCTTTTTGCTTCAAGCTCTGACTGTAGTTGTTCAAGCTTAGTAGTACCTTCAGCTTCTAAAATGAAAATCCTGTTAAAAGGAAGAGAATTTAAGAAAAAAAAGCCCTCAGCATTCCCATCCCACAGTGTATACTGAGCAGCTCATGCTTATAAATTCTATACAAACAAATTATATTTCCATTAAAGTGGATCTACAAGTGACTTGGTGGGTCCTGTATTTTCTGTCATATTGCTGTGTCCAATACTCAAGTTGCTTTAAGGAATTAGGGGCTGAAATTTTGCCACAAGCTCCTGTAGACTGCTAAGATCCCAACACCCGATGAAATTTTGCTCCTTTGCATATCAAGAAGGTGGTTTTTGCCTAGCAACAAGCTTTGTGGTTTCTACCTGAGGATCAAAAACAGAAGTGCATTTGTTCAGCCTTTTGCGTCACTTCGGTACTGAAGGTTTTGACAGTCAAATCATCCCTGACATTTCTGTTGATGCGCAAGAAAGAGAATAATCCACTGTGTTTTTCCATAGCAGTACTGTCATTGCAGCACTGACAATTGTAAAAAGTACATTCATCACTGAATAACAAGATAGCGTATGAGAAACAGAGACACGCTTCCATAAAAATGTCTCACTTTTAACGGCTATTTTCTGACTGATTCTTTTTTTTCTATTTATACTCTCCTTGAAATATTTTATGGAAACCTGAGTCCCTCTGAAGACCCACCCAAACAACCAGAAGTGTATTTTATGTATTGTAGTATGTAAATGATTAGTCATCACTTGTAAATTGCTTAATAAAGGAGGAGGAAATCTATATTAAGGGAAGGTGAAGAGCTCAATTTGATTGCTATATGTCTCCTTCTTCTTGTCTTCTTTTTTTTTCTCCCAGAAGATAATTATGAAGGATTTCTTTAAAAAATCATCCTAACAGGCATTGTTGTTCTGGGTTTGAGGATGATAGCTGTACATTGTAAGATTATTTTCCACTTGCTTGTGTTTTCTTGGGGAAATTTATGCTTTTTTGTTTTGTTTTAAGATTCAGTGGTCTTTTTGTACATTGCCAATGAAAAATGATGTTGTCTTCAGAAATCTTAAGTGTATCAATATGGGAAACTCATTTTATAATGAAATTTGCCTTGGGTAAAGCATGATAAGATGATGTTGAGCATCTGTGAACAAGACCAGATCTTGGCAGATCTCTTCACTTGCTGCATATGATACCCTTTGGTTGGTTCGTTTGTTGTCTGGTTTTTGTTTTGCTCTGTTTGTTTGTCTTATAAATAGTTAGTTCCCAACAAATGGTCACACAGGAGAGTTCTGAAATAAATTTTATGCGTGTTCTGATTTTGGTACAGATATCTGTGTCTCTCTGTTGGTTTTGGAGGGTTTTGATTACAGCAGTCTATTTCCTGGATAGCTGTTTTCCACATCCCCCATCTCTCTTTTAAAAGTGTGGGGGAAACAGTCATTGGAAGATGGGTATGAGGAAAGGATTTTGAGTCAGTGGTTTATTCACTCTTTTCTTGTTGAGTATTGGCTCCATGGGATACTTTTGCATGTGCTTGAGTTCTTGGGCATAGTTTTCCATGGTGTTCTTCCACACCCATTGTGAGCTTATGTTTCTGATGAGCTAGAATTTCCAAAAATATCCTGCAAGAAATACCAAAAACCTAGTGGGAAGACTTATTTTCTATTACTCTCTACAAATTGTTAAATGGTTTGAGGAAAAGAAATAGTTGTGTTTATAAATTTGCAGGATGGAAGTGATAGTTTACAGAACTGCCTGCTGGTCTCCTCTGTGTGTGCCAGAGCTCCCAGAGAGAGCAGGACTGGAATATTGTGAAAGGCTAAACTCCACTTCTGTTACAGCAAATTCAGTTCTTTTCACATGGCAAGTTCCAGCGTGCTGACACGTGCTGTGTGGCAATTGCAGCCATGCACAATGTAAAACGTGCTGCAGAAACCAGGAGTCTGATAAAATAACCAGAAAATCATCTCCCGTTATTCATGCTTTGCTTCCTCCTCCCTTCCCAGTAGAATGATATGTGCTTTCTGTTTGCTGGTTTTGTGTGTCTGCACTGACTGCTTCAACCATGACTCACATGCAAGTCTTGAGAAGAGCTTTATGTTGTATCAATACAGTTCAGCACATGGCCATGGCCTGTAAATCAGTCAGACTCGTCCTCTAATGCTCGTTTTTCTGTTAAATTAGCTGTTCAACTGGCAAATGCAGTCCTGATGAACAGTAAAAGTTGCATTGCTGAGGCAGCTTTTTCTTTAGGTTTATTTCTCAAACCATAACCTGGAAATCTCATTTTTCCTCCTCACAAAATGCTTCAGAAGAATTTTTTGGGTGGATTTTGTTCAGGGAATAGGATTTCTTCCTTCTCCTCCTCTTCTTCCTCCCATTCTGGATAATTTCAAATTTTATTCAGCTTATTAAATGAACATCTCAATTCACTACCCTGGTAAAGCAAGTCAGTTTCTAAAAGCACCAACCTAGCCATTTTTTCAATAGTGTTTGACTGTTGAAGTTTTAATTGGAGCAGAAGCCATAGTTAAAAAGCAGGCAAATCTTTTCTTCTCATACCCTCGTTGATTTCTGTTGAAGCAAACAGATGAGCTTATATATAAATATGTATATATGCTTTTTTTTTAATGAAAAGTGCTGGAATTCGCTAAAAAAGGTTAGAATTGAAATGAGTAATCTTCAGTGCATAATGCAATTGTTAATTTTAGCTTCTTGCGTAGGAGCTGTTATGACTTGAACAGCCGGCTCTAGCCTTCATTAGAGAAGAAGCAGGCAGTTTTGAGACAGGTGGAGCTGGATCAAGCTGTGAAAGTGACTTGCTGGAAACTGGTCATTAGTCTGGGTCCTATCCATTGCACCCCTCCCTTGTGCCGTGATCACTGCCGGTGTTATTTATTTTTCGTCTTTTCCAGGTTGACTATGGTGCGTCAAGCTCTCCGAAGGACCAGCATGGAGATTGGCACTCTGAACTGTTAATGGGGACATGGGACTCACGTCGTTGATCATTTGTGTGGACTTAACCAGCAAAGACCAACAGAAGACGCTAGAAAGGCAGTTGGAATTATAGCAGTTTTTCAGGTAAATGGCTTCTTTGGGGCAGCTGATCCCAGTGTAATTGTTTTTGTGAGCACTGTGTAAAGCATGGAGATGAGCTGCATGTGCCTTTCATGATGAAAATCCTTATCAAATTAAGGGCTATTTACCAGACCAGTAAAATATCTTACCACTCATGTTTTGAATTTTCATCAAAGCAGTTCCAAGTTTCAGTTGTAACTGCAGAATAGCGAAAATCATCGGCCTTCTTGGGGAGACCGGTGGGAGAAAGGAGAATCACAAATTAGCTCACAGTAAGACAAGTCAAGCTTCAGGTTAGTTTCATATTCCATTCAGTTTTTTTATGAACCTTATAGCTTGATTTCTTGTGAAGTTCACAGTCCTTCTCAAACTGGAAGATTATATAGGAAATTGTATTTGCTTACAATGTGAAAACAAAAGCAAAAAGTAGGAGAAGTAAGTGCTTATAACTCAGTATGCTTTAGATTTTTTCACTTAAAACATGGCTTAAAAAGCAAGAGGTAAGTTATACTGGTTCTGTTGAATGTTTAATTTCAAACTGTAAAAAAGAAAGATGGCACAGTATGATTTTGCTTCATAGCTGCCGTTTCACTGTTGAGAAGTGGCAATGTGTTGCTAAAGACCCTTCCTGAAATTACTTCACATTTCAAATACAGTTGTTTTTCTTGAAGATGCTTCTTAAGTGAAGTGGATGGGAAAGAAAAGTTAAATTATTCATGAGTCTTCTTTGACAATTGATCGGTGGGGGAGTCTTCAGGAGGGAGCTGGGGGCAGAGAAAGAGAGAAAAAATAATAATAGTCTTTAACTCTGAAAAGCCTTTAAAGCTTCTGTACAACAACCCCATTGTAAGCTGAAAGTAAATGCAGTTCAGTTGAGATTTCTTCATTAGAAGTACCTGCCAAGGATTTTCTGTACAATTTTCCTAGTACTGAAGAGTGACATAGGTTTTAGGAAGAGGCTTAAGGTTTTAATAATCGAGCTATTGGTTTGATCCCTGAAAATGTTGACCCTGAGAGCTTTATTGCCAAATTTCGAGTTCATACTTATCTTGAATTATTACCTCTTAAAAAAGGAGAAATATATATTTATAGTGGTAGTGAGCACCATGGCTTCTGCTATGCATAAAACCCATGGCTAAATACTGAAAACGGTGTTGTTGCTCATGCTTGGGTTTTATTTCTGTTTGCTTGGCTATTATTTTTATTAAAAGAAAACAAAGCAAAAATTAGAGGAGGGGAACAATGAGATGCCAGAGACCTAGAATGTGTTCTTTTTGCCTGGTGCCATTGAGCTTTGTGGTAGAGAATCCTCCACTGTCCCTTCCTGAACCTTGGCTGTTGGGAAGGGTCCTGGGGCTGGGCCGGGGAGTCACAGCACATTACCTTAAATCTGCTTCCACAAAGACTGTTCAGATCTGCTTGCTTAACCAGAAACAATTCTGCTGTTACCCAATATTGTTGATTCAGTACATCTCTTCTGCTGGGACATGCATAGTTTTCCACTCCTTAGCTGCACATTTTGGTTTGTTTATCAAAGGAACTGAAATTAGTAATTAAAAGAAAAAAATAAATTTCACCTCAATGTTTTTTTTTGTGTGTGTTTGTGTCGTGGTATCTCGACCTTTCAGGTCACCAAATCTTGTTATTTTAATTTCTGTCTGGAAGAATGTCTGAGCAAGGTAAATTGAACCAGGAGACAGCAGAGGAAGCTGCAAAAGAGCAGGAGACTGCCATCTCTGAAGCCAACCCGGACAACTGTGTTCTTAATAAATCTGAAAGCTCAGAAGTAGAGGATGAGAAGCTCAGTGATTCCAAGACAGAGCTGCAGGTAAGACAGGCATAGTGAATGGGCGTGTTAAATATCAATGTGCTACCATTGCTTTTCCATTTCTGTGAAGTTTTTCATTGCCTACACTTCCCCTATTTTTCTTATAATTTTGAGACTGGTTCTATTTTTTCCTTTTAAAATTATTTTTTTATTTATTTATTTTGGGTTCTTTTATATCACTATAAAATAAATGCTGTTATTTGTTATACCTTTCAAGCTCTTTATACTGCTGTCCATGTTATTTGTCTGAGAAGTTAATTTCTAGACATCTGTTTTAAAGCTTAGTGAGACATTTGACTGTTTTCCCTCTTTGGGGATTTAGAAAACTACCTTGATCTCATGAATTTACAGGTAATACTAATGAATAATTACTTAATATGTGGTTTGGTTTGTAGGTGTTACTGCCAACAAAAAGTTGTTATGCAAAGCCTAAGAAGGTAATTTGATAAGAAGACTTTATCGGATGAGGGGTTTTTAATCCTTTTTGCTCAATCGAATAAAAAAAATAAAGGGGGAGACCACAATTTAAGAGGAATTTGGAGAGGGGGAGCATTTACTTAAGTATACCTTTTCTTACATTTTTATTATATGCAAAATTACAGAACACTGTGCAGTGTTTTTTCTTGTTTATACCTGTTTGTAAAATGAATGAAAATGAGCAGAGATGATTTTTCGTTTTCCCTGCTTTCCAAATGGGGTTTGGGGAAGTTGCTTTTGCAGTCAGCAACTGATTTAAAACATCAGATAGAAGTGATTTAGTCTGTTTATTGGTAATGCTTTCATCATGCCCACTGTCCACTGAAGTGATAACTGCTTCTCTTTTTTTGCTATATGCAGAAACGAGGGTCAAATCAGAAAAAGAGATCCAAGGTAAAGGTCCATCTCTGTTTGGAGTTTCATGCTACAGTAGGATAAAGAATTTCAGTTAAATACCTGTCTAAAATCAAAATTGCTTTCTTTTGTCATGTGTCTGGTTGAGTTTTTTGTTAGTGTTGCAGGTTTTTTCTTGCCCCCTACCCTATAGTCCTTTTGCACAAAGGCAAAAAATTGCCTCCAGTCAGGCTTCCCTTTATCCATCATAATTTTATGCTGCTGGGCTTGCTGTGTCATTGTGTTACATGTGTGCTTCTATGCACCACTGGAAAAGGAAAACGTTCACTCCTTTTGCTTTAGTAATTAATGTTTCTGTTGGCATTTTATTTTAATGGAATAATCTTGACATAAAGAAACTGAGATTGACTAGCTCCCTAAGGGGGGAATATATGGAGGCAAGTGTGGAAAGGAGCTTCTAGAAACAAACCCTAAAAAACTTATTTTAATTTTTCAAGTGCAGATCTGTAATACATACACTTTTTATTGTCCATGTTTCTTGGATATATACTACTAGAAGAAGGGGAGGGACTCACAGAACAAAGAAAGAAAACCCCAAACCAAATGACAAAAGGAGCCCTTGAGTCTATGTTAAATTACTTTCAGAATTGGACTATCTGTTCTTTGCTGTTACAATTTTTGGTGGAAGTGAGTGAACAGTAGCTGAAATGATAAAATCAAAAGAAAACCAACCACCTTCCCTGTGGCAAATGTCTTGCTGCTTAGAATCCTTTTTTATCCGTGTTATATCCAGGCAAATGCATTTTTTTGGACTGGGTGGGTAATAGTTATCTGAGATATTTGGGAGCAGCTGATGTGGACAGCTTATGTGACTTGGGGTCAGTAGTAGTGTGTTCTGTTTTGTTCTCTCTCTCTTATTCAGTCAGGAGCTAAGGGCAAACTCGTGCGGAGCCTTGCTGTGTGTGAAGAGTCAACCCCTCGCCCGGGAGCAGAAAATCTTCATGACAACCAGGTACACTTGCAATCATTGCTGTTAGCTGCATGGTTGACCTCCGTCTTCAGTTGCATGATTGTGTTACTTAATTCGGCATTTAACAATGTCTTTCTTGGGGGAAAAATTACATCTGGCAATGAACGTGTTTTTATGGTTCTTTCTGGTTTAGCGTGAACTTTAATTTGAAATACTAGTTTTGTACTTTATCACAGGGTATTGTTTGCTTTTTTTTCCAGACCCCCTGAAAATTTCAGCAAATGGAAAAGAATTCAAAAGAATTCAGATTTTAAAATTTAAAAAAATAGTAACACTCAAAAAAAATTAATATGTTATTTTCTCTAAGGCTATCTCTTTCGAGGCTGCACCAAATATGGTTATGAATATGCTCTGATTTGTGGTTCCTCTAAGAATTCAGTTCATATCAGTGTCCCCCTTCACATAAAAATCAAAGATCCTTCACTTTCTAAAATACCTTGGTAGAGCCAAGGATGCCTCATACTTAGTGGCATTCATTTTTTAAACTCTTGGTGTAAATTAAACTATATCAAAAAGCGTGCATTTGATTTTATATGTACTGGTGGTGTTGTATTCCCAGCAACTGGTAGCTGTCCTCTGCACTCCTCAGCTCAGACAATAACACTGGTGGCACTCTTTGCAGACTAACTTCAAAAAGTACTCCAAAAATCAAAAGTTAAGCCTCAATTACTCCTCTGTGCTTGCCTAGTGAGAGCAAGGCTTAAAAAAACCCAGCTAACTAAAACCCAAAATATGATGAACACTGCCTACAATTTATGATGTTTATGTACAACTGAAATCAGCCATCGAGAGAGCTTGAGTAAGTGGCTTCTTGTGAGCTTAGCACAAAAATAAAAAATGACATTTAAGTGTACTTTCTCACTGTTTCCTCTATTGACTTGAAATGAAACAAATCTGTCTCTCCTCTTAGCTCAAAAGTAAGGAGAGGTTTTTCTATTTTTTTAATTTTATTGAAAGACCAAAAACCAAGTTGTTTAGCAGCAGGACATTAGCATGTTCTACTGCTCTACAATGATGCTTATGCAGTAGATGGGCAGGTTATTTTATCAGTTGTTCTGTTGTAGGTAGACGCTTTTCGCTTGACTTGCATTACTCAAAATGCGTGGCTTTTGTTCCAATTTTCTTTGTATTTTCTATTGTTTAATGGAGAATGAGAAGGAGAACAGTATAAAGAGATTGTATTAAGTGTTGCTGGTAGTGTACAATGTACTGCACATGACCTGTACTGAACTACAGAGAGACTGGCAGGTGTTGAGGCAAAATCCCTATCCTTACACCGGGCAGAGGAGGGGCTCCTGTTTCACACAGCCATTGGTCTTACCTGACTGACCAGCCTCAGCAAAGATTTCTTTGACCATCTTAAAATATTTGAGAGATGAAATGTCACCCTTGACCCCATCATGTTTTCTAAGGAAGCAATTGTCTTGGTGTAATTAATTTGATAGGAATTGCCCTTTTGCTCTTGCTGACCTTTTACTGATGAATGTGGTTCAACTTTGTCGTGGAAAGCTGGACCTGCAGGCTCCCCCTTGGGCTGGCTGAAGGATACAGGAAGTTTTGTGCCAACCAAGTTGTTTTGCTTTCAGTTTAGAGGAGAAGTAGTTTATTTTTGGTTTGGAATTATTTTTTATTAATTTTTATTTTATCTTAATGGTTCATAAACCACAAGGAATTAATTATCAGAGAATGTACGGTACCTTGCCAGAACTACTGAGTATGGATTGTACTGCAGACTTGATGTTTGTACTTATATTTTAATACTTGCCTTCATTTTCCTGTATAAGGAAAAATCTTGTTTACCTGTATTACTTGATCTTGAGTGCTTATCCAATGGTTCACTATGTCCTTACTTAAACGAAATGTTGCCTTTAATGTTATACTATAAACCAAGAAGTGTATTATTGCAATTTGAAAATCTATTTTGTTGTTCACTATACTTGTATCAATGTATTTATTAACATTGTATTTTATTATTGAGAAAAATCAATAAAAATTTAAGAAAATACACAGTAGCTTGCTTTCACGACTCTACAGCCCTTTTGTGTGTTTTTTCTAGTGCAATTACATCAGTATTACGTTACATGTAAAACAGTATTTACTGTATGTTTATATATGTGCTTTTCTGTAAAGTCTGTCATTTTCATCAGTGCATTTTTAAGGACCACTGTGAAGTTTAGGATTAATATCCTGGGAACAACGTGGCCAGTTACATTTTTCTCCTGTTGAAAAGCTAGCGCTGCAGTCACTCTGCTCTGGGCAGGGCAGGGAATCAAGTTATGCTTTGGGGTCATTTGGCAATGGTTGATCGAAAGTTTGTTTGAATGAGAAATCAAACTGCCATTTGAAGTGAAAGAAAGCAGGCCCAGCATTAGTTCTCTGAGCACAACTGAGCAATTCCAGAAACATTTCTCAATGTATCCTTATCTCAAATGACCAGGAATTCCCACTCTTTGCCTCTGTAGGCTCAGATTTTGTGTAAGACTGTCAGCCATAACTAACAGAAGTAGAGATGAAGGGTGCTAGGTCAGGTTAAATTTTGGGTCTAGGTCTTTGTTGATCTTTTAGAATGCTTTTCATCTCAAGTCTTTTGTGGGACATTCAAATTTCACAAAAAGTCAATAATGATTAAGCTGAGAAGTTGCCAATTTCTGTCTTAATGTGGCATGTTTATGCTGATGCCTTGTTTTGTTAGGATCTTGTCTTACATGTCTTGTGATGGCTGATCCATAGTTCTTTAAACAAACCTAAAATTTGTATTAATTACTGGAAACATCTTTTGAATTCATAATGGTTGCTTAAAAGCACACCCCTTACTTTAAAGTTTTCTATTGATCTTTCGGTATGCTAGTATTCTTAGAAAAATAGTGAAGGAAGGGAATTCACTAGCATTCAAGAAACTTTGAAATTCTCAAGTATTGGTGAATTAGGTATTCATTAACATGATGTCAAAAAATTATAAAGCATGCCTGATTCTGTTCTATTAAAGAAAACTACTTTACCAGGGAGTTTTATGACAGCTTTCTCTAAATTTGCTTTTTTACACTACTTAAGCATATAGTTTTCTGGAGTGGCTTTTTTTTTTTTTTTTTCCTTTAGAAGAATAAAACACAGAAGTATTATTCCTTCAGTTTTGTCCAACCAGATTAGGACTTCTTGAAATATATAAATTATGTCATGGTAACTTAAAAAGAAAACAATTTAGGTTAAAACAAAGCCAGTATAATGTAATGTTGTGAGCAGGGAAAACAAGTTCTTTAAAGAAATTAGAAAGTGCAAACCAGCTTGAATTCTCAATCTGCTTAAAAATAAAGTTTTTAGAGTTGAAGCATGTTTCAAAGGGACTCGTAGCCACCGAAATACTCTATTTTTGAGGGTAAAATTTGTGATACCTTAGAGAAGTTCACTTTTCTGTGACATTTTTCAAATGTCCTTGAAAAACTCACAGGGCACATTTCCCGCCTTTTGCAAAAGACACATCTGCATATGTATCTAAATATGTATTACCTGTTAAGTTGGTAAGCCGTCTTGTATACAATGGAGTATAGAATTTGCTGTCACTCCTCTACTATTAGAGCCAAAAAACTCCATCTATCTGATACTGCACTTACATGTGCAAAACAATTCATATCAACCTGCAGACTTTTTAGTGAAAAAAGTTTTATTTTTCAGATATCTATCCATTGAGCATCACTGAACATATGTAGTATTACATGATATAATTAAGAAAGGCCATATGAAATGTATTTCATTATTCTGAAAAGTCTTAAGGGACAACTACTGAAGTGTAGAATAATACAGTCCTCTTACTAGACATTGCCTAAATTTTATAATATTCAAAATATTAGAGAACAAATACCTACTTACCACTAGAATTTGCCCTCTAAGATATCATCATTCACCTGGCTAAAAAATGCCATGTTTCAAATAGGAAAGAAATGTATCTGGCTTCAATTTTTCTAGCTACACATAGTTTAATGCTAATATCTGCAGATTGGAAGCCATGGAGACATACTGAATCTGGCCCATGATTTATCTGTCTTTCTTCCCCAACAGGAATCCATCCAACTACAGCTTTCAAGTTTTCCTAGCTTGCAAGAAGAAGATAAATCTAGTAAAGATGACTCCGAGAAAGAAAAAGAGAAGGATAAAAATAAAGATAAAAACAGTGAAAAAAGCAAGATCAGAATGTTATCAAAAGGTGAACTTAAAAATATTTGAATTATTATAATTACAATTGCAGAAAGGATTGTACATTTTTGCAAGAATTTATTTCTTTATTTGTGTATATGTACACAGTAAAAGTATTTTCATACACTGAGAAAATTCAGAACCTAAAATATATATGCATAAGAATATTTTTCATACAAACATCAGGCTTTAAAGTGAAGAAACCTCCCAAATTGAGGTCTTTTATTAGATTTGATTTGTTTTCTTTAATGTAAAATTGATCTTTGGAATGCTTAACCATGTTGGTATAAATACATAAATATATAAATATATATATGATTGGAATAATAAGTGTATATAGTACATAAGACATTAATACTCTTTTATCTAGATTAATGACGATATATTGGCATGTAATTTGTGCAGTGTAGACAGTATTGTTTCTGCTTCACTATTGTTTCTCTCTCATGGAGAATTTATCCTAAATGCTGTAAGGAAATTAATCCATGCCATTTAACCTGCATTGCAATCTTCCTTGTCACCTACCAAGACTTCTTCAGGAAAGATGTTTTATCTAAATTTGGCATTGCTTTTTAAACCTTTTTATTAATCCATGGTATAAAGTTGCATTGTAATCTCTCAAAAATAATCATTGCCTACCTGGGTGTGGATCTGCAGCTGGTGTGAATTGTCATTTGGCTTCAATGGAGCTCTCACAGTTCACGCCAACTTGAGGATCTGTGTGTACATTTGAGTCAGGAGATAATGCTGAAAAATTAATTCTGGCTACTGTCACGCATCCCTATTACCTGCCTACTCCCAGGTGTCATTTGATTTCAGTCTTTTAATGCAAATTGAGTTCCCACTGGCATGATTCCTCATTTGCCGAGTGTACAACATTTATTAAGTGACACAAAGAGATATTGATGAATAAAACTTTTCTTTCTTCATTTTAAAATGTTTTTTAACAGTTTAAAGGAAGAACTTGGCAGGGTCTTGAATGGCATTGAAGGTTTTCTGTGGTATTAAATGACTAGCAGTTTCTGTTAATGTTTAGTTTTGATGCTATGTTCTCAGTGGAGTTGTACAGAGGAATAATGAATGTCCACCTGGTGCTTCAGAATGTATATCTTTCTTGGCTGAACTCCAAATAACTATTTTCTTTCAGAGCATATTCTTTCAGATTGTTGCTGGAAAATGGTGTTGATTTATATCATAAATCAGAAGTTAATCTGAACTGTTGAAATGAAATAAATGAGTGGAGACTCTTTATTTTTATTTTGCAGATTGCAGTCAAGAGTATACAGACTCAACAGGCATAGATTTGCATGAGTTTCTCATTAACACATTAAAGAATAACCCCAGGTAGGTATTTCCTGCGTTAGAGCTGACATTCCTGAAATTATAGTTGGCAGTCTTTGACGTCTCCTAACTGTACACTGTGTTTTATTTGTTCTGGAGATGCTTATGAGGGAAAATGTAAAGAAGGTAGGCTGTTAAGTGAGAAAAATGGTATAAAAAATCATCAACTTTTACTCCCACACCCAGTCGCCCATTGCTTAATTTCACTTTCAGTAGCATCTGATCTTTGTTATTACCTTCTTTTATACAGCTCTATGTGGTGATTGTAATAATATCTTGTAACCATTGCGATTGGAGATTTTTATATGAATGTAAAGTAGCTTTCTTCCAGCAATGCTGCACACAATTAAAATCCTGTGCTCAGCGTAAAATTTTGCTCTCAGTATTCCCATAGCTTTCATTTGGAGCTACAAGCCTATCTCATCATTAAATTTGCCTCTAAACATCCAAGGAAAGATCTGTAACGTTTTTATGTATTGTGATTTTCAATGTTCATTTCAGCTGGATGTGTTAAATATGTACCATGTAATTCTGTAACCATTCCCAGGAGAACTGGGAATAACTGGGTATCTAACAGCTTGCATAACCCCTTGTACAGATGATGGTAGGTCCTTCAATTGCTTTATCTGTACAAAATGAGAAAGTTCAAAGGAACTAAGGAACGATGGGACTCTGTCCAGCTTAGAAATGTGTGGAAATATGCTGGGGAAACTTTTGACAAGGGAGGGGAGGAAAAAGGGACATCTGAGACCTTCCAGTGAAAACCAGAGCATTTTGCCTGAGATACACTGTGGCATTGCCTCCTGGGAGCCATAGCTCAAAGGTGGTGTTCTTCATTGTGCTCTCTAACTAGATTAGACGTGTCCAGTTTTTTTTTGCAGCAAATCAATGCCTTGTGGAATTCTGGTGTGTCTCAGGAAAAGTGTTTAAAATTTCGGTGGGTAGCAGCTCTTCTTGTGAAAGATCTAGCTTAGGTGGAAATCTCATTTTCCATAAAAAAGGTTGAAAAAAGACCAAAGCTATCCAAAGCAATGAGAGTCTTTCTATGGAACGCATTGATTGAAGCCTGTTGTGGCTGAATACGCTCTCAAGCCATAGTTGAGCTCATAGAAGAGTCAAATCTGTATGTCAGTGAAGGTGCAGAAAAGCAGACCTTAGTCTTTTGCAGATGATCCAGGCTCAAAAAAAAAAGCATGTTTGATTTTTAATCAAGATGACTGACAATGCTTCCAAAATAGCCTTATGAACACTGTTATATTAATGTTTTCCTCTAAAATGTCTACTCGTAGTTGATGGTACAAATCCTTGCATTTCTTTTTGACAGGGACAGAATGATCCTCTTGAAAATGGAACAGGAAATTATTGATTTCATTAGTGACAACAGGTAAGTTGAGTTCCACTCTTGGTTTATTAAGTCACGTGCATGTGTTGCAGCGTGGGTTGTGCGAGGGATACACTCATGTGGACCACAGTGCTCCTGAGGGCTGTTACTGGCACACTGCAAGAGCAGGCTTCTATTTCCTGCCACGTGGTGGAACTGCTTAAAATAAAATAGATGTAAATGAAAACCTTTTGCTTTTCATTGTCTTGTAATTGCACTGGCTCTGCTCATTTATATCCAAAAATATAATTAAAGCTTTTAGTATAGAAGATAATCAAATATGTTATCTCATGGTTTTTCCTTTGTGTTGTGTTATTTTACTGCATTGGAAAATAGAACAGAGCTTAAGTGGAGGGATTCTTGCTACTATGTGGTCTTTATAATACAATATTCCTGCAGCTTTCAAATTAGAGAGTCAGAATAGCAGCAGAGGGAAAAATTATGCTGACGGGAAATAACCATTTTGTCAGTAATAGAGGGAAAAAGGAGTGTTTGCCAAACTAGATCTTTCCAGAATTGCCCTGCTTCTGACCTTTGGGAGAAATGCAGAAAGCTGTTGCCAGTGTCGAAGCAAATCTTTAGGATTGGTTGTGCAGAGTGTGAGTGCATGTGAGGGATTGGGGGATGAGTTCTTCCCAACACTCAGAATACTGACTAGGTACCGTGAAGTGTGAGCTTTGTTTGTCCCAATGTTGCACGTGGAAATGTACTTATTAGAAATTCTAAAATTAATTCCTTTTTTTTTTTTCTTTCAGCTTTTCTGTAGCAAACATTTACATGTAAATGCATAATGGAGAAGTTTTCAGTGAGATTTCTGTCCACTGAATTGTCAAATGTATTGCTGTTTTCATTTATTTTTAGCTTAGAGGGAATTTTAATTATCAATGCTATTTATTTCCTTTGTTTTTAGTAATCACTATAAAAAGTTCCCTCAGATGTCATCCTATCAGAGGATGCTAGTGCACAGAGTGGCAGCTTATTTTGGAATGGATCACAATGTGGATCAGACTGGAAAATCTGTAATTATCAACAAGACCAGCAATACAAGAATGTAAGTAACTACTGTTGTGTTTTTCCTTGTTCCCTTTCTCAAGACAGGAGCTGGTTTGTACCATGACTGCGTGGTGTAATTTATATATATATATATATATATATATAATTTTTTGTTTGTTTTCGTGGCAGCAGTGAGTGCTGCTTATTGTTTTCTAGGTTGGGAAGGGAGGATGGGGCTCTCATGGTGAGGTTATCTAATACTATAAATATACATGAGGAGAAATCAACCTAACTGGTCTCTTGCAAGAAAGTACAGTATCTTGGAATGTTAATTTTGCTGATTCCTTAGTGCCACCACTTTGCTACAGAAGTGAGCTCATTGCTTTGCAAGTCACCTGATACCATACAGCTACATCCCAAATAGCCCAAACATATTTGGAAGATTGCCTCTTTCCTTGTTCTGGCTCTGCGTGCTTCAAGAGCAGTCTGATTATTTAGAATTTGGTTTCCCTCCACCGCCTGCCACCCTTCAATCCATTTTCTTCTCCTTCCATCTTGGCTCCACTTTATTTTCCCTTCAAATCTCACTGTCTGACTACAGTGTTACTGTGAAATACAGATTCCTTCTTATAGTTCAAATGCATTGCAAAATTTGTGGCAGGTTAAATCTGTTCTGGCGTAAGTTCTGTGCTTCTCCATGAACTGGTTAAAGCTGTACAAGCTAAAACTGTATCAAGCTAACCAAAACTTGATATGAGCTGCAAAATATGTCCGTGCCTAATCACCATCACTTTTCCTGCCAAGTGCCACGTGTATTTAACATAGCCTTGCTGTCCCTGTCTACCTATAAACTACATAATGAAGAGGAAGTAATTACAGCTGGGTAATGAAGTTTTGGTATCTGGTATTGGAAAAGGAAAGCCCCATTTGAAAATTGTCTATTTCCTGTATTCAATTAGTAGGAGAAATGTAAACATTTGTTTTATTTATCTATCCAGTAGCTAGGTAATTTATTTATATCCATTTGCAGAAAGCATTTTTTAATACGGTTAACTTCTCCTGTAGAAGGGTGAAAGGACTTGGGAATGGTGCTGTGCAGGGCTGATGTGCACTGCTGTGCAGTGATCCTCATGAATCCCTTCCAACTCAGCTTGTTCTCTGATTCTGTCACTACCTAATTTTGAAGATTAACACACATTGGTGTTTGCTATTTCACTGAGCCCTGAAATTCTTCCATGTGAATGTAGTAAATTTAAGATAATGGACAATTTATTTTAGATCCTTTTCCTGGGCTGTCCCTGAGATACTTGGACAACTGTGAAACAGCACTTGAGCATTAATGTTTTTAAAGGTTTGAGTAAAGCATTCACTAACAGCTTGATTTTTCAGAAGTCAAGAGAATTACAATAGCTCGATAAAACACTCAGGCTGCAAAGGCTTAGCCTCAGGGTCTGATAATACCTGCCCCCTACAAGGTCCTCTTTGGTTTTGAATAAGAAAAAGCTTGGTATGCAGCAATCTGGTGTTCAGTTTTGAACTGAAAATGAGTGCCCTCTTAAACAGACCACAATCAATCATATTTGAATGCTTGTAAAGCAATCACAATCGTCTCTCTTTTATAGTCCTCCCTTTTCCCTTACCATCTAGGTCACTGGTGTAGCGCACCAACTGCTCCGGATATTTCCTTGCAGCATTGCCTTCTCCTGGTTGACTTGATAATAGAATAATACTAACACATTAATATGTGTAAATGCCTTGATCTGTTGTGTGGCTTTCATCTCACAGATGGGTAGCACTGGAAGCACTGTTGGAAATGCTTACATGGTGTTTCTGGAGAGGACTCTGAAGCCTTCTTCAGAAGTCAGAGCTTTATCTGAGTGCTCCGGTAAAACTGTGGCTTCATGCATGGTAGAAATGAGCTAGCAATGCTATTTGCTAGGTATGAACTGCCCTTCTTGCAAGCTCAGCAGGCAGGCTCTTGTAGTGATATTGCAGATTGAATGGCCTTTTCAGCTGTGTTCTTGCAGGCTGAAGGTGAGGCCATTAAAGATTGGTGCTGACACCATTCCTGTCTAGATATTCCAGAAGTAAATGCAGGGTTTTGCCCCTCTGTTGACTTTAAGTACAGCTGTTTTGTAAGTACCACATAAGCTGCAAGCTGCTGATTTCTTCCTTCCTCACTGATTTGGTGGTAGGCAACTGGATTATATGAAGCTCGTATTGCCTTGTGGTTCTTCCAGTGTGTTGTTTACATTATTTTGATATTACCATAAAATAAAGCTTTTGTGAAGTGGCTGTTTCTTTTCATAACTGGAGGAGATGTCATGTTTTTTTAAAAATGTCCCTGGCTCTGACAGAAAATAGTTTGTTATTATCTAGCATGGATAAGGACTGATGAGATTTTATTACCCTCCACAAATATTGTGTAAGTTCCACATCTGAAAGCGTCCGATGTGATTTCATATGTTCTGCATTTCACTGCTCTCAGAGGAGACAGTTCTGTGCAGTTTCAAATCAACACCAAATACTGGGAATGTGTTGACTCTTTTAATTACCACTTGGACAGTATCCAGAATACCGGAGAATCTGAAGAGCGTCTGGAACTCTGTTCAATGTGGTTATGTTGTACTGCAAGCCTAAGCCTTGATGGTTTTATGTGAGTTTATGGAGAGGCCCCACAGACAGATGTTCTGAAGATTTGGATTTTGGCAATAAATTATCTCTTTATGACATGTTGTTTCCAAACTACTTTAGCTACTACTGTGGAGAGAGAAGAATATTCTTGCATACTCAGGAGTTCATAAATTCTGCACTGGCTTTGACTTCTGTGTACATGTGCTTCTTTGAGAGGAGCATATGAGTCTGCAGTGTCATCCTTGGGCTTGGATAAATACCTTATGTTTATTTCTTTGGCTGAGTGAGGGTTCATGTCACATCTCTGCTCCCGCTTGCAGGTGATGGGTTTTTGCCTGGTTGCAGGTGGTGAGCTCTTCCCTGGCCCCCAGGCAGTGAGGTGAGGTGCATTATTCCTGTTCAGCAGAGGCCTCCCATGCTCGCTGCCTGCAGCTGCTTGGAGGTGCAAGTGTCAAAAGAAATAATGGTTTTGAGATGAAAGGGCTGTTGGAAAACTCTGGTATCAATGTTCCTTATGGGTGCCTCGGAAAGGACTAGTGTGTGTCAGTCAGGGGATGAGCGTATGAATGAAGCAGATCAGGGCATTTCCTTGCTAAGGCTGTCTTAGGGCAATGTGGATCCATATGTACCTATGCTTGTAAAGTACCTACTTCACGGAGGTCTGGAATATGAGGAAGTGTTTATTGAAGAAGTTGTAGTTGGAGGGAGAGTTGTGACTTCTTGTGTTCATCCATGCTGCTTTATATAGAGGGGAAAAAAGGTGGTAAAATTCAGTAGGGTCTGAATCTCTGGGAGTGCAATCCTGCAGCTTTCATGAACTCTCAATGAAACCTCTCTTAAAAATACATTCAGACAATAATGGCAACTTTTCAGACCAGAGTATTTATAACGAAGAGCTTACTCTAAGAATCTACTATGTTTTTTTTCTTTAATTTTTTTGGAATGTGAACAAGGCCTGCTGTTTTCAAAGGGGTTTTTTTTAAAGAAATTAAATTTTAAAAGACAGTGATCACCTCAACCTAACCTCAAACCTAAGTGTTTTTTGACCTTAATAAACTTAAGTCCCTGTATTCTAGCTTTCATTAGAGAATAGTGGATTTTCAAAACAAATTTTCTTTTCATATGATGTTTGAAATTAAAATTCCTGCCTAACTAAATAATCTGATTTTTGAAATATTATTCTCAGCAGTGTATATGAGAAAAATTGATCAGAAAGCAAAGGAGGATTTTGCTGTTACAATGTTTCTATAGTCAAAAAACTCAAATACTACTTAAAATGGGAAGTCTGCCTTACTCAGTATGAAACTGGTCTTGTGTCACCATTCTAATGTATATTTGTCTGTCATCTGTGTCTGCCTGTCATCTGTCTAAAGATACACAGAAATGTATGGGGAACTTAAGAAACTGAAATTTGATATAAAGAGAAGTTTGGAATTGAGGCAATATGTTCGGGCATCCCTTTTTGGAGCCAAAAAATGTGTACGTGCCACCTTCTGGTCTGGATATTCCTCATAGTTCCTATCAAACAACTGGAAGTACTTCAGGATTTTTTGCAGAACTATTCATACTGTGAACTGTACCAGTTCAATCAGATTCATTGATTTGGTTATGTGTAGCTAGGTGGAGAAATGTAGGGGAAACAGTTTTGGTGTGCTTGGTAAATTGAAAGGGTTCTCATTTGGTTGAGATCATCAGCCATGTGACAAGCATGTCTGTACCACAGCCCACACATGCATTCATGTACTTGTTTTATATAAATGTGAGTGGCAAGGCTCATCAGAATCAAGAAGGTAGGATGCTTATGATATATAATGCTGTGTTTAGACATTTTCATATATTCTGAGGGTGTAACATAGCTATTACGAACTTCATACCAAATCTCATCCTCAGTTCTGACTATTTTTCAGGAGCATTGTGGGTTATCATCCTTGTGATGCATGGGTTTTTTCCTACTCTGTTAATATTATGCTGGCTCAGTTGGGCTGTGTTTTGTTGCCTTCAAAAACTTGAAGCAATAGTAAGCTGTTATGTGCATTACAAGGGTTCCTTATAATCTAGAAATGTGTCAGCAGAAGGAGACATAATGTTCAAGTTGTACTTTGAATAACCTGCAAGGCTTTTGTAGTTTGGCATACAATCTGTCTCATTCTGCCTCTTATGTGTAAGAGTGGTTTGAATCAAAAGCAAAGAAGAAAAGTTCTCGTTGGGTTTCTATGATGTATTCATTGAGTGGTCTTGCTGTAGATAACATCTATATTAGTAGAGGTGCACTGTAAAAATTTCACCATCTTCAGAGTCTGAACTTTTGTACAGGATCCTACAGGCATATCAGTGAAATGGCATTCACTGAACATGGCAATTTCAATGCTGAATAGATTCTAGAATTTATTTTACCGGAGGCCGAAGTGCCCAGAAGACTTCCTT